CAATTCGTATGAATTGTTTTAGCTAGAGAATTACATATGATATTTTGCTGAGAAAGATACTAATTTAGTTGTTATTCAATCTTGGTTAGATTAAATAGCTTCATATCCCTAAATTTCTTAAAGAGCCCATAAAAATACGCATCAAATTGGTGTGGTTGCTGCTACTGCTGTTAATCGAGGGAAACGGTGCACTTATTAAAGTTTTGTGCAAAATTTTGTTGAAATCGAACCTAATACAAACCAGTTTTGTAGGTCAGATTGTTTGGCTTTTTTCTCCTTCATTTCTAAAGATTTTAAGGTGATTCTTTTTTTTAATTAATTAAATTTTTGTCTAGTTTTCACCTGCAAAATTTGAGATTTCACCTACTGTAATTGATCCCATCATCCACACCAATTTGATGCGTATTTTTATGGGCTCTTCAAGAAATTCAAAAATATGAAGCTATTTAATCTAACCAATACTAAATAACAACTAAATTAGTAGCTTTCTCAACAAAATATCATATACAATTCTCTTGCTAAAACAATTCATACGAATTGATCAATTATAACTCAAAACTTCTCTCCCGAAAACGTTACAACATAAAGCCCTTTATATAGACAAAATTAACTATAAAATATTGTAAAAACAAATGAGAAACTAATCTGTAAACTAAATCTATTAAAATAAAAAATAAATAACAATTAAATGTTATCTATAATAACCACCCAAAAGATATACTTTAAATGATTATTCTATGTATCTTCCTAATATGCATCGGGATGGTTACTTAAACGATTTTACTCTAAAGGATTGACAACAAAGTTAATTAAATTATTAATGATGGAAGAATCAATTGAGTTATTTAATGAATTGCCTTAGAGAAAAGCTATGGATTATTACAACCAAATTGAGGAATTTGAAGTCATGAGAAAAGATTATCAAGTTTTTTAATGTTTTAAAAGCGAAACATTATGTTATTTGAAGTGAACAAGAGTTAATGATTACGATTTAAGGTTGTATTACCAATATTCATGAATTTGTCAAATACTTTTGAAAAATACCATGAAGTACACTAACGAATTTTCCTAATTAATTAGCAATAAAGAACAAACTGTACAACACCATCTGCAGATATTTAAAAAGACTAAGAGCGTCATAGAAGGTTGTTTATCAGACCAGCAATACCAGAATTGCGAAGAAGGGTAGTCTAAGACCAGTAGACTACAAACGTAACGCAATAAAAATACTTTTGAAAAAGACCATGACGAATTTCCTTAATTAATTAGCTAAGATTTTCATATTTTCTAATTGTAGAAAATCTGATTTTCTTAGTTAAATTAATTAGTGAATAATTGGTATTTTTCTAATTAATTATTTTATACAAAATATATTATTTACATAATCATTTTTATTCCATAAAAACTAGCAAATAATTTCCTAAATATTTAAAGGGGGGTCCAAAAAAAATGAGCTTAGGAAAGCTCAAATTTTCGGCCACCATATTGTATTTTGAGAAAAATTATTTTGGTAATTTTTGTATTTTAATTATCTTTCTCAATTCTATTATTTTCCTTAATTCTTATTTTCCATCTCCTAAATATTTGATCATCTTATTTCCCTACCTTAAATCATTCTTAATTATTCCCCAAGAAAAGCCATTTACCATTTAATATTTCATGACTACATCTTACCTTATTTCTTCATTACTTAATCACCATAACCTAGACTTTCCATAATTCTTTAGCTCTATTCTCCAAGTAATTTCCTTAAACCAATTAATTTACAATAATTCTTCTTACATTCTCCTACCATAATTCTTGCATGAGCTAGCCTATAAATATCCCCTCATACCTCTCATATTCTTCACACCAAAAACTCAATTCTCTTCTTCTCTCTTACTCTTCTTTTCCCTCAACCTTTTTCCTACTTTTCTTCTCCTCTTTTATAAAAGAAAATCAGGCCGTATATCTTTGGAGCCAATTTTCAAGCACTTCTGGTCAGTTTTGGAGGTTTTTCTATTTCAGGAAAATTGTTCCTCTCAACACATTCTTGAGGTTAGGCTCAAGAATCACCCAATTCAGAGTTATATTGAAGGAGTTATGGCCTCTACAAGTTCTTCCTATTCTTTCTAACGCAAATCCAATTCTCTTTCTCTTTTTTTTTTTTTTTTTTTTTGACAAGAGCAAATGTATTCATAAAATCAGAGTTTACAACCTACAGAACAAGAACTAAAACTTAAAATATGGCTTTTAACACTAAAGTCGTTACAACAACTTTTGAGACTAAAGACGAAAATAAACTTGAATTGGCCGGATAAGTCGCAGATTAGGGACTCGTTACAAACCAAGGAGCAAAAACATACTACACTCCATGAAGAGAGCAACGGAGAGGATCGAAACTGTTTGACCATGGCTAGCAAATCCTTACCTGGCGGGATCAACTCTTCACCAAGTAAGGTCATCAAACGGGTCACTTGAACTAGTGACCTTCCAATCAATAGCTTTCCTTGTTGCAAATCCAATTCTCTTTAATCCTATTCCTTTATTTTCTTCATGGTTAGTTTTTTAAAATATAAATACCTATTTCAAAGCTATATTTTTATATTAAAGTATTATTTTTAAAAGAGTTTTATAGTCCATGCACATTAGATTTGGGTTTCTAAAGATGTTGTGATAACCTTATGGTTATGTAAATTGCAAAGTGTATTCAAAATTGAACTTTAAAAGTGCAAAGTGTTGATTGATTCGGAATCAAGGTACGTTTAGGTGGCTAGATACCTTTGAAATTGATTGGATTGAATAAGCATGTTTTACATAATTTTTATGCTGATTGAATTAAATTGAATTGAATTATGATTTATGAAATAATGCATGTTTTGAAAAATTGGTTTTGCTAAATGAATTGGAGGATTGATTTTATATCATGTTTTGAATGGTTTGAAATCATTATGTTTAAAGGAGTTTGGTTTTTTTTAAGAGTATGTTGGATTGTTTTAAAAGAGTTTTTGAAAAAAAAAAGGTTTGATTTTAAAAGCTAGTTGAATTAAATACAAAAGGAGTTTTTGAAAAGTTTGATTTTATTCAAAGAGGAATTTAAAGTGGATTTTATTAAAAAGCTTTACAAGCATAATTATTATAATAATCCCACTATGCGGATTCGTTGAAAACTATGGACTTTGTATGACCTATTTTTTCCTCAAGAATATCCTATAACTCAATAATAATGATTAGTAATAACTATGGACTTTGTATGACCTATTTTTTCCTCAAGAATATCCTTTAAAGGGGTGTGCACACTTAGAGAGGAGATTGAGTTTTCAAAAATAATTGATTTTACTAATCATTATTATTGAGTTATAGGAATTGTTTTGAGAATATTTGAGAATTAGTTTTCTAAAGAGGAATTGGTTTTATAAATTGTTTTATCAAATTATTGAATTATTGGAATTGGTTTTGAATCATGAGTTTTTCAATTATTGGATTAACATTGGAATTGGTTTTAAGAGCATGTTTGCTAATAAATTAAATTTACATATCTTGCACTTATCGTACTTAGCATATTTTGCTAACCCGTATTTCTTATTTGTTATGGTTCGCCCTGTTTATCTTAATGGTAAACAGTGTTGACTATTTTCAGGTGGAGTCAATATTTGAGCATATGGGAGTCCAGGATGTTATTCACCTAGATTAGGAATGTTGATCTTTGTTTATTATGAGTACTCATGACAATGGTTTCTATTTATAGCTATTATTAATAAAGAAAGAGTTTGAGTTTCCGCTGCAAAGTATTGGTTTGGTTAGTAGTTTTGGTAGCCTTGCGTAATCACGCGGCGGTAATACGCCTCAGTCTATCTCTATGGTATAATTATACGTATTATACTAGTATTTATGTAGTGGGAGATTTGGGGGTGTTACACTTATGTATTTGTTATAATCAAATCTTCTTTGTAGATGTCGTATGACAATTTTTTAATGAATTTATTTTATTATTAAAAAAAATGTAACATTTACAAAATAATCGTTGTTTTCATTATACAAGTTCAACAAAAATAATTAAATAATAGCAAACATCACAAATTCTTATATGTAGCTAGCCACCTAGTATGGCCAATTCACATAAGGTAATAAAAAATTGAATAATGAGGGTTAAGGTGTTGAGTTAATGGGGTTACCTTAACGTAAATGGGATTATTTCAATGGAAAAATGGGGTTATTCTCATAAATAAGTGGACTTAATCTTTTATTAGTCAAAATAAAAGTGCAAGGGTGTACACACCTAAAAATGTCTCCCTGACCAAAACCCGATGACGAAACAACCTTCATTGTCTAATTTGGTCCAGTTCGCGTGATGGATTTAAGAATTAATTAAATATTCCTTTTTACCCTAATCCACTATCATTTTCTAAGCCATTCTAACCATTTTATTAGCCTAAACCTTTTTTTTACCCCAAAATCCTTATATCTTAGCCCAATTTCCTCTCTTCATTATTGCAGCCCATAATCGGTCAAATCTAAGTTTCGTGCAGTTATCCAAATCCTAAATGGTTAGATAGCCCTTGAAATAAGCTTAGTAATGATATATTATATAAGCCCAATTCCGAATTAAACGAAAAAGATATGATAAAAATACTAAACTCTATTGAAAACTGGCACCATTTTCTGCTCATCTTCTCCCTAATACTCTTGTTTTCTTAATCTTTCATCTTTCTAAACCTTTCAACATTTCTCCTTCAAGTGCTCCTAGACATCAATATACTTCACCCAAAGTTCTATCGGCGGTCCAAGGCGTGAAAGGATGATCATAAACCCTAAGGGTTTCAATCTAAACTCATTTTAATTTGTTTTCTTTAATTTATTTTAATTCTTTTGATTTATATATTTTTATTGAAGTTTACTAACCGTTTATTCATGATGTAGTTGCAAGGTTTCGCAATCGAAGTAAGTAGATTTATTTATTACATGCACTCGTTTAATTTTTTTTTTTTTTTGACAATAGCAAAGGAAAATAAAAACAAAACCTACAACAAAGTCAAAAGATTAGTCCGACATTTTCTAGCAATGTCGTTCGCCTTTTGGACTTGATCACGCTGTACCTTCAAAATCGTGCACCTTTGAAAAGATGCCTTCAATACTCTTAACTCTTTAAGTAACCAAGATATCGAAATATCCTTACCATGATTCCCTTGTAAGTTGGTCAAAAGACCAATCGAGTCAGATAAAACAAGAATTCCTTGTTTACCTTTCGCTCGGGCCCATTTCATTGCCTCTAGGCAAGCCCAAGCTTCACATTGAATGGCTGAAGCGGCCACTCCATGCTTTCCACCCTCGTCCATTGCATTGCCCTGTTGAATACTCTTAACTGCCCAACTTATCCCTACCCTTCTAGTCTTTTTATCCCAGGAGCCATCGACTTCCACAGTGAAATCATCATAACCACTTTTATCCTTTCCCAGGTCCACGTGATAAAACCCCGGAGGAAAAGTCGGATTTTCCCGGTCATAAACCTCCAAATCCGGTGTTGGGCTTGCTTGAAGATTAAAAATTTCATGATCATTCATGGCAAGATTAATAAAATCCCTTACTGAACTTATCGTCTCTGTAGAACCCTTGAAACATCTAGCGTTCCTAGATTTCCAAAGTCCCCACAGTGTTGCAATAAACACGGTGCAACGATTGCTATGCTTACCATCCTCGCTATTAAACAGCAGGATATAGTGCTGGATCCATCTTTTCAATAAGTTGAACCCAGGAAAGTCAGGGCAAATAGTTAGGGAGCCATTCTCCCAAAATTCCTTTTCCAGAGTACAGAACTTGAAGAGGTGTTGGTTGTCTTCCAAGCCTACCCCGCAATGATCACAGATTGCGTCCACTTGTATTCCCCTTCTAGCCAGATTATCTTTAACTGCAATACCATCATGAAAAAGTCTTCAAAGGAACAACTTCCATTTTGGCTGAATGTTCAATCTCCAGACCAGCTTTACAAACTCATGATCCCTTGCTAGAAAAGTGGATCCTTCTAATCCCAAATCCTTTGAAAGATAGTAGTACCCAGTTTTAACAGTGTACCTCCCAGACTGATGATAATTCCAATAGAGGAAATCTTCTTCCTCAGTAGATTGAGGAAGTTCCATGGATATGATCTCCTAAGCACTATTCCAGTCGAAACATTCCCTTACTTTCCCCGCATCCTAAGTTTGAGTCTCCCTGTTGATAAAGTCCTTCACTCTCTAATTCGTAGCTGCCCTAAGAGTTTGACCTGACTAGTCCTTCACTCTCCAATTCGCAGTTGCCCTAAGAGTTTGACCTGACTTTACTGAAGGAATTTTGCCATTCACCCAGGGCATACTAATTGCTCTAATGTTATTTCCATTCCCTACCTTCCATGCAAACCCGTTCTTGAAGACCTCGATGACTTTTTGGAGACTTAACCTTCCCATTGAAAGGTTCCCTTTTCTTTTCCTTATATTCGTACCAGCAAAACTACATATTCCACACGGTTGGAAACTATTGTGAATCCTCGATAGTAGCAATTGGGGGTTCAAGTGCATTCTTGTTGCTTGTTTAAATAGGAGAACCTCGTTAAGCATCGAGCAACCTCTAATTCCCAGGCCTCCCATGCTCTTAGGAATTTGGGTGATGTTCCTGTTTACCCAATGTAGCCCCTTAGCTCCCTTTCCAGCCCACTAAAAACTAGTGATTAATGTATCGATCTTGTTTGCAATTCTTAGAGGAAGTTTTAGACATTTCATAACATGAGCAGACATGCTTACCAGCACCGTGTTGATAAGAATTAATTTTGCTGATTGAGAGAGTCTTAAGGAAGACCAAGAGATGATTTTCTCTGTGACCTTATCAACCAAAAATTGGAAGTGAGTACTATTTTTCCCCTGAATGTCAATTGGGGCTCCAAGATTAATCCCCATATTATCAGTTTCCGGCATAGAAAGTATTTGTTTTATAGCAACTTTCATATCATTATCAACATCCGGCGAGAACTTAATAAGAGACTTTTGGAGATTCAACTTTTGGCCAGAAGCTTTACCAAACCTTAAGAGGATGTCAGAAATACACATACATGCCTCCTTACTTGCCTTGAAGAAGAGCATAGCATCATCTGCAAAGAAGAGATGAGAGATCGAGGGAGACTAACGTGAAACCTTTAAACCTTGGAATTTATTTATATCCTCTGCCAGATTTAACATTCTCGACAGAATGTCCATGCAAATAATGAAAAGATACGGAGAGAGAGGGTTTCCCTGCCTCAGACCACACTTAAGGGCGAAATGGTCAGTAGTTTTCCTATTAATAATTGCCTTAAAACTTACCGTTGAGATACACTGAAATATCATCCTTATCCAGTGACTTGAAAACCCCTGAGCTTGTAAAACTTTTAGAAGAAAAAGCCAATCCACTCTATCATAAGCCTTGGACATATCAATCTTAACAGCTGTGAAACTAGAGCCTTTTCTCGAGTTTATAAGGTGCATAAGTTCATGACTTAGGAGGATATTGTCCTCCATATACCTTCCGGGGATGAAGGCATGCTGATTTTCCGTAATCAGACTTGGAAGGACCAACTTTAGCCTATTCACCAAACATTTAGAAATGCATTTGTAAACAGTGTTGCACAGAGTGATTGGTCTAAAATGATTAGCAATCTCTGGAATTTTCACCTTTGGTATCAACACTGGCAAAGACTGGTTCCGTTCCTTGAGCATATTCCCTATCCTTAGGAATTCCATAACACTATTAGTCACCAACCGTCCCACCTCATTCCAATAAACTTTGAAGAAATCCACCGTAAATCCGTTTGGACCGGGAGATTTAGAGCAATGCATATCAAACATAGCCTTCTTGATCTCCTCTTCCGAGAAGTCCCTGTCAAGCCAACCCCGCTCCTCTTCTGAAAGACAAGGTATGGCAAGTTGCCGAAGCAGGAGATCTATATATTCCCCGTGATTATCATTCGTAATCGGATTGTAAATGTCCTTGATTGAGGATAAAATCACATCTTTTACCCCTCTTTCCCCTTCCACCCACATATCCTCCTCATTCCTTAATGTAAGAATCAAACTTTGTAACTGCCTTTGCTTCACCTTCCTATACATTGTAGGTGTTGGGCAGTCCCCATACCTAATCCAATTTGCCTTCATTCTTTGCTTCCAAAAACTAAACCCCAATAGACTCTCCGGAATAAGAAGGTTAATATGCTGAATGTATCCCTCCCCTTCATGAAGAGTGCTTACATTCATCCCTGAAATTCGGAGATCCTTTGTAAGTTTCCTCCAGTTGATCCCCCAAACCTTTTTATTGTCTAAGCACCAATATTGCATTTTTGACCTTAGCTTATCTAGCTTCCTTGACAGCTGGAACATGAAAGACCCCCGAACCTCTTCCTTCCATAGATTCCCCACTATTTCTTTGATTTCTGGGAAGGCCAAGCACCAATTTTCAATTTGGTATGGTCTATTTGAAGTCGAAGCTTTAGGTTGCTCATGATAAGTTATTGCCACATGGTCAGAGCAAACTATCGGTTCATGATTAATTTTCCCATCCGGAGAGTGATCAAACCATTCCTCTGTTATGTAGGCCCGATCTAGCCTTTCTAGAATAAGGTCGTCCCCTTCCCGTTTGTTGCTCCAAGTGAATTTCGGACCCGAGAACGGAACTTCTGTCACATTGCTACTAAACCTCCAATCTAGAAACGCCTCAATTCCTCTAATCCGATTCGAGCCCCCTAGTTTGTCACTTCCCCTTTCAACTTGATTAAAATCCCCTATAACAAGTACGTTTTTGAATTCTTCTAAAAACCATTGCAATTGTTCCCAAATAATTCTTCTCTTATCTACTTGAGGTTCGCCATAAAAAAACAAAACATACTTCAAACTGCCATTTAATTCATTTATCTTACACAAAATAAATTTTTTTGAGGAATACAAGCAAACAACTTCAGCATTAGACCATCCTAAAACAAGAAGACCACCACTACTACCTTCCGAATCCCACCCAAAAGTGGCAGTAGGGGCAAGAGCACCTAATCTAGCTGCCGCTGAGGCAAAATCCATTTTGGTTTCTGATATAAATAAAAACATAGGTAATTTAGACTGATAGAGCCACACTAGATATGGGATTGCAAGGGTGTGTGGATCATTTAACCCCCTGCGATTCCAAGCCACAATATTCATAATTCCTTCGGGGGCTAAGTTAGAGCAGCCTCCTCACCCTCCGCTGTTAGCTTGATTGAGTCAAAGATAGATAACTGTAGATCGATGTCCATATCATCCCGTATTTCCCTAAGTGCCGATGTTACCTCCTCACTTTTCTGCCTTTTAGGGGACCCGGAAGAAGAAGATGAACAGTTTTGAGGCCTCTTATTTTTTCCCCTCATACGGAGGTCCCCATCGATATCTAATCCAAATTCCCTAGCCATGTCGGGATCAGAAATCGCCTTTGATGCAAGCCTACATGCTCCTTTTTCGTCTTTGAGCCATATTGTAAACCCACCCTTTTTAGACCACCTGTGAAGCCTCTTGAGTCTCTTCCGCTCAACCCACTCATAATCTGATTCACTGTATCGGATTGAATCCCCATCACATGAATGTGGTAAATGACCAACTGCCTCCCGAATTCTCTTCTTGTTATTTGCACTGTCATCATAATTAAACAAATCTGTAAAATTGAAAGAACTAAAATGCAATACCGGAGTGTTAGGGGGATCAAACTCCGAGAGTGGGAGGTTTGGCAGTCCCGCCAAGTCTGTTGCGGACAACCGTAGAAATGGCGATGTTGATGCTCTTGCACTTCTATGAATTTCCTGGATTTCAGTCCTCCTTGCATTTCGTATTCCCAAAGACAAGATGGTGCTTGCCTCAATAATGCTTACATACTCATCATCAACACGCTGCTCCTCCTCCTCAATTCTTCTAGTTGTAATTCTTGATGGACTTTCTAGCCACCCATAAGCAGGCGAATCAAAAGTAGCAGCCATAGCCGTGCTCCTTGCACATACATTCCCATATATCACCCCATTGTTTCGTTCGAACTCGATAGGCGAGGTTGCCCAATCAGTAATCCCTAGAGTGTGAAAGATAGTCCCTGGCCCCCCTCCTTGTTGTTGCCCTTGTCTCATTGAGGATGGTTCACCCACCTCAAACGTTGAACCCGCAAAGAAAGACCGAGTCGGAATAGGAGGATTTGTAGTTTCGTTCCCCACCGAACCCCGTATTCCTATGGGTCTGCTTAGGCTTAATTCCTCCCTTCTTCTTGGCAAATCTCCTTGAGCAACAACCATTCGATTCCCCTCACTGAAGTTTCTCATGTTTCCTTCATCATGCCCTACTGTATTTGGAGCATGCCATTGTTGATGCACGAATTCAGCATATGGATCTCCAGATAGACCCAGACGTCTCCCCGGAGATAGGGTGAGATCCGGTTCCATCCTTTCCGCCTCTCGTTCAATCAGTTCTGACTCGTCATTCGACCATTCATCCCTCCCCGAGTGAAATTGTTCACTCTCATCACTTTCCTAAGAAGCCAAAGAATCCTCATACGGGTGCCCTTCTTCAAAACCCCTCTCCTCCCTTTGCCCTCCCCCATATAAGGGGTTTTCCCCGGATTTTCCACTGGTCGAAGATCCAACTCGGTGTTACGAAACCTATACCAGTCCGGAAGCCCTCGAATAAGGTTCGAATAGAATGGGTATTCGGCTGGACCATATAATACTCTTAACCCATCCGATTCCACTTCGTTCAATCTACGTCTGACCCTTCTTCTTGCGACGGCTGCATGGAGAGTGCACCGGGCTGTGGCATGACCTGCACATCCACACGATTTGCAAAATTTATAGATACCTTCGTATCTCAGATACACCCAAATCACTCTAATTCCTTCCAAGGGTATAAAACACCCCGGTATTAGGGGAATAGAGAGGTCAATTAGGACTCGCGCCCTTAGTTCAGCATGTATGGGGAGATCCTCTCCATCATGCTCTAATTCCTCAATATATCCCACGTGCCGAAAAATTTGCCTTGCCCAGCTTGATGTAAGATAGGCTAAAGGTAGCCCGTAAACCCTCACCCAAACTCTTGTTTGCGTGAAGTTCATGAGGTGAGGTACAAAATCAAGTTGGTACCTCCTAAGATTAATGATTCTTCCATCTATAACAGTTGAGCTTGCAGCTACAAGCCCCTCAAGATCCTGGTTGTGCCTACATTCGAACAAGAAATACGGCCCCGACCTATGAACCCTAATTTTGCCTCTCCTTATCCAACGTGAGGTAACAATTTGTTGAACAAAAATTTCAGAGGGAGGGTGAGGTCCAATGAATAAACCAATTAGACACGAGTTGAAGTTAATAGGCCCACTCCCAAGATCGAAGTCTTCTGGAGGGGGAATAAGAGGTCCCCCTCGCATAATTTGGGCTTGTTGCCTATCATGGGCATTAAGTGAATTTCTGTGATGGCTCATGATAAGAGCCAGAGAATAAACTCGAAAACAAAAGACTTAAAGACAAGAATGAGTGTAATACAGATTCCTTTGAAACTTAAATGACTAAAGACAAGAACAAGAAGAAGATGAGAAGACAAAAGATATGAATGACTAGGAAGAACTCTTTGAATTTATAAGTAAACTTCACGTTCTTGGAAGCTAAAACACCACACGCATGAGGAGCAATAACTGAAGCATTTAGACAACCTACTGGATAGCCGCCTTTAGCTATGAAACCACTGCACCAATAAACTGAAGAGCAATTACTACTCAAATTAAGAAATGTGGTAAAACCGAGAAAAGGATCTCAGCAAGCATTGGAATAAGCAGAGGATATTGAAAGGTTAATGCCTTTTTTTTGTGAAACGAGGATAAAACTCAAGGACCCAGAAAATAAACTTTTCGTTTGAAGAGAAAGTGGTTAAGAAAACCACAGACACAAGAAAGCCACTGAAATTCCTCCTACCTAAAAGCCTAGATACCTAGGGAAAATTAAGTTAGGCAAGAACACGATGCATGTAAACCAAAGAACCCTAGTTACACTAAGGAAACTCACTTCTTAGTGAGATAAGCTCTCAGTTTTAGAGAGAGAAAGTTTTTTTGGAATGAATAAAAATGTTTTTTGCACTCGTTTAATTAATTCTACAATATTTATTCTTGCTAGAATCATGTTTAGGGGTTGATTGTTAATTATTAGTATCATTTTAGGCGTTATATTAATCATGTTAGTATCATGCCTAGGATTTTATTAATAATTATTTAGTATCATGTTTAGCAAGTTTTAATTCGTTCTCTAGTTATTATTGAGTTGCTTCATATACTTATGCATGCTTATTTAATTTATTTGATTTATTTTGATCACCTATATATTGCATGTTTAATTGGGAATATGTAATTGAAAATCACGCCTAATAAGATAATTTGGATAACCGATTTAGGTTCCTATTAATCTTGTTGTTTAATTCAAGTGAAGACAATAATTAGATTTACGTGTGCATTAAATATTCAACCAATTTAGATTAATTAGTTTGGAGTGAATTGAATATGGTTTGTATGTCTTTTGAGTTGCAATTAATACATGTCACTATAAGAATCAAGTAGAGGTCAATATGGCGTCATTAGGTTCATGACTCAATCCGTACCATCATCCCTGAATATCTAGTTAAGGTTCAGGACCACTATGGAGTTAGTAATCTCATGGATTATGAATGAGGTCTAACCTTCATGGATCAAATCGTTGTTGCCTTTCGGTTTGTCCCCTTTTCGTGTTTGCCTTTAATAATCCAAGAACGGTTTACAAGTTCCTTACAAATTTGTTGGCGACTCCCTACTTTTTTGTCCCTATTGTTATAATGTCAAATCCAACTTCCTTTGATTTCCAAGCATATTCACAACATGCTCCACGTAGGCGCACTTCGAGCGACGCCTACAAGGAGTTACTTAAACAAACAAATATGTTTAATTACTTTTTATAATATAATAAATTTGGGTTATTTTTATAGACAAAATAGGTTACTCTTATGAATAAATAAGTGGGGGTGAAAGTTCGTTTTGCGGTTTGGATTACAGTCCAAACCGAAATATTTTGGTTTTTGATTTTTCAATCCAAATCCACACCAAATAAGGATTTGGTCCAAACCAAACCGATCAAAATTGTCAACAATACATATAAACCGAATCCAATCCATAAACCGAATTTTTTGACTTAATTTCTTTAGGTTTGCAAATTTTATTTAAAGGTTGTGCAAGTTTTACAAATTTGATTACAAATTATAAATTAACAAACCCAGAAAATTTACAATACTCAAGATAATATTACATATTATAAATTAAATGTTACCAAATATTATCCCAAAATTAAGCTCTATATGCAAATTATATAAATATAGCTTTGATGAAGGTAATCTTGATTGTCGCTACAACCACTGCCTCTTTGCCCGCAACTTAGCAAGACTACACCAAGGAATTAAACATCGAAGAATTTGAGGGCTGCTTAGACCTCAAGGTTGTAAATAACAAATGAGAATTTTTAAATGTTGAAATTGTAATGAGATAAGGCTAAAAGATGATTTAAGGCTTTAAGCATAAGAGAAGGAATGAGGAGAGGAGAGAGAAAGAAAATATGAGAGAGGCGCTTAAAGGTAAGATTTTGGAATATTAGGGGTTTACTTTTCTTTTGATGTGTGGGCTTACTTAAGTTAGTGGGCTTTTAGGCCTATGTAACAAATGTACAGGTACATCAATAGAACATAATTCGGTTTGGTTCAGTTTTATCAGTTTTAGGGACTCTAAAACCGAATTCAAAGAACAATCCAATTTTTTTTGTTTTTTCAATCGATCCGATCCGAATTTTAGAAAAATCCAAACTGAATTACTAATTGGTTTGGTTTTCGGTTCGATTTGGTTTGATTTTAATTTGAATTACTTTCACCCCTATAAATGAGACTACTCATACAATTAAATAAAGAATACTCCTATAAAAAAAATAAGGGTTACTTAAATGAACAAATATGGTTACCTACTTTTAAAATAATAAAATTTGGGGTTATTTGTATGGACAAAATAAGTTACTCTTATG